ATGGATTTGGATTATAATCGATTATGGATTATAAGTATTGTGTATCAAATAAAAAAAAATTGTAATGATACAAAACAACCTATAAATCTTAGAACTTCTTGTTTTTTTACATAATTTTGTTTAAAAAAAAACAAACCTTGATTAATAAGAAGTAGATAGTAGATGAAGAATAATTTCTTTCTTGATCTCTTTCTTAATGATGAAAATTGATATCCCTTTTAGCTTTCTTTCGTTTTTTTTTTTTAATTCTTTCACTAATAAATCGAAAAAAGACCCTACTCCTTTTGTTATGGCCTTAACTCGATTCTCCCATCAAGACTTCTACATATATCATTATTAATTAATTATATATATATATATATATCATTTTAATTATTAGATACATGTATCATTATTAATTACATTTATCATAATTAATAAATATATGTATCATAATTAATTAAATACATGTATCATCATTAATTACATCTATCATAATTAATATCATGTATCTTAATTAATTTGATACACTTTAAATATTATGTATCATATGGGTAACAATTAGTTTTACATTCTAGATACATATAGCATGTATGCCATAATTAATCTTATATTCTCCTACTTGGCCCATATGATATTTTCTTTATGATTTAATAAAAAAATCATAATGTGCAAAACTGATGATCATTGGCTATAACGTTATATAATTATTAAATTAAAATATTAATGTGGGTCATGGTGATTATATGTCATTTTTTCGACATTGTCTCTTCTATGTACAACAACACTAAGTTTCAATTTAATATAACATTTAATGAGAATGGTAAGCTGTTTAGCTTTAATGTTTTTATTATAAAAATATTCTAAAACAATTATGTATACCAAATAGAAAACAAGAAATATTATAAACATATAAGTGAGTTTAGAGCATCAAATATATAAATGCAATACAATGTCAATAATGATGTATAATAATACCCATCCTTCAACATGTTCATTAAATGTCTTGAGCATCAAACTTTTTGTCAAATCAATTGACATTCTTTGTTTATGAACTTCTTCTATAAATAAAAAATATTGATTTTTATATATTTAGCACCCTTAGACTACTTGTTCTTTTTTAAAATAAGAAAACTATTATGTAGTTATCATAATAAATATTCAATGACCTAGCAATACCATCAACAAACTCAAATCTTGAAACAAAGTTTTGCTACTATAATCCATGAATGACGACCTCAAAACATGTCATAAACTCGGCTTTTATAGTGGATGCAACAAAGACGGACTACATCTCACTCTTTTATGAAATTGCTCCTTTAACTAATAGGAACAAGTAGCCATCATATGCGACAAGATCTGAATATGAATATGTAATTACCTCAATATGATTAGATCTCTTATAAGTGAGTATGTGATCGTTAGTTTTTTGCAAGTATCTCAAAAATTTCATTACAACTTTCCGAGTAATCCATACTTGGATAACTTTGATACTTGTCTAGTATTCATAAGGAATATTTTTCATTTGCTCTCGTTCTATTTTATTTTCACACATTCCATAAAGTTAAATTTGTCTTTCTTTTGAATTGAAACTACCTTTGCTAAGCATTTATCTATTTTAAACCTTCCTAGAATTTTATTAATGTAGGTTTTCCGAAGCACTCCTAATAATTCTTGTGATCTATCAAAGAATATTTCTATTCTTATCACATATGTCATCTCTCTTATATCTCTAATTTCAAAATTCTTAGAGAGGTATTTCTTGATTTTATCTAACAAACTAAAGTCATTAGCAACAATCAAAATATCATTCAACATACAAAACTAAAATATAAACTTGTTCCCACTAATCTTCATATATATACACCAATCAATAATTTTTTTAAAAAAAAAATCAAAAGAAGTGATTATATCATTAAATTTAAGCTATCACTATCAAAAGGCTTGTTTAAGTTCATATTTTGATTTTTTTTTTAATTTACACACCATATGTTCCTTTTCTTTAATTGAAAAGCCCTCGGGTTAGTCAATATAGACCTTTTTCTTCTAAATTTATATTAAAAAGATAGTTTTATTATCTCTAGTGTAACTCAATAAATAATAATCCACCAAATTCATAACGATTATAAGAGAGTCTTTCTTAGAGGCTGGTGAAAAGGTCTCTTTATAATCGGTGTCATTTTTTTTCGTGAAACCTTTAACAACAAGTCTAGCTTTATATTGTTTAAAATTACAATTTGAGTGAAACCCATTAATATCTAATATTTTTACATTCTTTAGGCAATTTAACTAGATCCCAAGCTTAATTTGATACATATATTTTAACCCCTCCTTTATGACACTAATCTACCTAGTTAAATCATCACCTTTCATAGCTTGTGAAAATGAAACTAGATCATTGTCAATTCCAAAGTCAATTTCTTACTCTTATAGATAAACTACATAATTATTAAAATAAGGATTAATGCCCTCACATGTCCTTATATAATAGGCTAAATTTCTCTTCGTCTCTAAATTTGAAGACGTTTTTTTTTTTTATTTGAGCTTGTTTTTAATCTATCCTTCGATCAAAATTTTTGATCAATTCATCAAAAATTAATCTTCATATTAATAGATATATATCACTTGTGTCAAAAAATAAAAATAATTTTACTAAATCACATACTTAATTTGGCCAAAAACTTTAAAGCAAAAGAATATATTAGAAATTAGATCAAATAATAAAGAAGGATTGAAGGTGTTTTTGAATTTAAAGACATATTGAAACTTTAGCTTATTATATATATAAGGATAGGTGAGGGTATTAACCTCAAAAATAATAGATCTCTTTTTTTTTCTTTGAGATCTTCTTATGGTTCGATTGTTCTAGGTTAATTATTAATGTTTCGAGTGTGAAGAATTTGGTTATTAATTTGTTGTTCTTGACCATTCTTGAGTTGAATTATAATTTCAAGAACAACAATGAAGAAGTTTTAGGAATAGGAACTTCCACCCAAACTTTTTGAATGCTAACATCATTCATTCTCTCACCCTCACTAATGTCATCATTTTTAATAAACCTAGCATTTCTAGTTTCAACAATAAAATTCATACCCTTTTGGACTTTTTGGAATACTAATGAAGTAATCACTTATTGTTTTAAAGTCTAACTTATTTTCATATGGATTATAAATCTTCACTTTTGTTGGATAACCCTAAACATATAGGTGCCTCAAATTAGGTTTTCTTTCTATCCATAGCTCGAATGGAGGCTTTGGAACTGCCTTACTATTGATCCTATTTAGCAAATACATATGGTTCTTAATGCGTACATCTACAAAGATAAGGATAAAGATAGTTGACTATTTTCATTAAAGTATGACTATCTTCGGCTACAACACTTTGATGTGGTACTTCTAACATTATGTATTGAGCATAAATGTCATGTCTTTCAAGAAATTTGACAAATGGACTTGGCTATTATTTTGATTCGTCATACTTTTCATAGTATCCACCACATTTATCCGACCTTTCAATTTTTATTTTCTCATCTAATTGTCTTTCAACCTCTTTAATATATAATTTAAGTGAATTAATTGATTGAGATTTATCATGCAATAGATAAATATAACCATAACATAAAAATCATCGATAAAGGTGATAAAATATTTTTCTTTTCTAGAAAATGAGGTGTCAAAAGGTGCATAAATATGTGATGTGTATAATCTTAAGAAGTTGTGTGTTTCTTGTGCCTTCTTTCTTAGCGCATTTTGTTTGCTTTCCTTTAATATAAACAATATACACTTTAAGATTACCAAAATTCAAATTTAGAATAATTTCATTCTTTGCTGATCATTGCATCGTTTCTTTGGATACATGACCCAAATGTTTCTATCACAAATAAGCAAAATTCTCATCAATTAAATTGCATTTACAGTCATCATTGTGATGGAACATTATTAAAGTCTCAACAAAAGCGTTATCAAGCCTAAACTTACAGAGACCATCACACAATATTCAAAAATCAATAAGATTATTGTCCTTAAATAAAATAAAAGATTCAAAACCAATCTTAAAAACATTTCCCGCTACATAAGGTTTTAGTAAAAGAACCAGGAAAAGTAGGTATATAAAGAATCTAAAACAAATCCAAATAATGTCCAATATCTAAAATTAAACGACAAGTGTTAATGCTTTTTTTTTTGGGAAAACATTTTTGGTCACATTACACTTTTTTCCTTGTTAAAGAATTTTGTTTTTGTGTTTCCAAATATTATCCACCAATATATATATATATATATATATATATATATATTTGAAAAAATATACTAGAGTAATTAAAATTTTTAAAATTTCAATTTTATATACTTCTTGATTTTAATTTAAATTAATTTTGAATTTTAATAATTAGAAAAATGATATTCAACACAATTTGATTCTAGCAAAGTAAGATACTCTACTATTATACTAAAAGATAAAAAGGTAAAAGGTAATGTAATTTATTGCTAAACTTATAATAAAAGTGAAGTGAGATTAGTGAAAAAAACGAATTTTGATCCTTTCATTTTTCAAATTTAAACATTGATTTTTAATTCAATGATATGGATTAAGTGAGAGAAATAAAATATTAAAGAGTTAAATTCTTACTATTTTTATCTAAATATGTTAATTTAATTCGAATTCAATGATGTGGATTAGGTGCAAAACATGAGAGAAATTCCATCCATTAAAAACACCACTTTTTTTTGTGTTTTTTTTCATTGACTTGCTTTTTATAGTAAATAATCTTCATTATTTCCTACATATGGCACTAGTTTAAATGGGGTGGGGTATGGCACTAGTTTAAATGGGGTGGGGGCCCTGTTTGGGGGGGGGGGGGGGGGGGGGGTTGTTTGCACAACGGAATGTCATTGACACGTGTGACAATTTTTCCAATTCAGTACAATTGAACCATAGAAACCCTATAAAATGCGAAGTCATAGAAATAGCATGACCATGTCATATCTTTGGAAGGAAAAATTGGAAAAATAAAAAATAAAAAAATGAGTAGTCCTGCCAATATTAAATGCAGCCCATTGCCTTTTGTTGTGGCACTTGCCGCCATGATGAGTCTCTTCATCTCCCCCTGCGGAGGTCAAGTGGTCGTCCCTGTCTTTCAGAAGTATAATGTGCACATTGTCAATGGATTGAGCCAAAACAAAACCTTGCTTGTTCACTGCAAGTCTAAAGACGATGATCTTGGTGTCCATAACCTTGCGGTGGGGTTGGAATTTCGGTGGAGTTTTAAGGTGAATGCTTTTTCCACTACGCTTTTCTGGTGTTACTTGGGCCCGAGTAACGACTCTCATGCAGCCTTTACAGCCTTTAAGGATAAAGAAAAAATTACTGACAGCTGCGACGATGATAACAATTGTTTTTGGATTGCCAAAGATGACGGAGTTTACTTAAGGAACATTCCAGGCAAAATCGATGTGAAAAAATTCACATGGGAAGCGGGAAGGTTAAATATAAAGTAGAACACAAGGCTCCCGTGTAACGTTGCTGCATAATTTTGACATGAAATAAAAGATTATATATATTTGCACACAATTATCCATCACATTATAATATTTTAATATTAAATGCAATTAGTTAGAGCAGTGGTTGTATATCTAGATAACTTCCATAGTAAAAAATAGAGTTCGAATCATAATAACTCTTAAGTTTTTTTAATAATTATATAATGAAAATTGTATGGTTCAAGATTTATGAGTCTCCTCGTGAATAAAAAATAAATATATAAAAAAAAAAAAAAGCTGGGAGAGTAGCATATAGTTTAATAAGATAAGTTAAAATCCATTTAGTTGTGTTTAATGGAAAAGTTGATTTACATAATTTTAACTCAAGAATGCAATATGATTATTTGTATAAAAAAAATCATCAAATCATATTATAGCCTATATATATTTTTCAGGAGCTATGGCAATGAAGAACTAATAATATGTCAAGAGTAACCCTAATCTATGATCATTGTAGCTTTTTTATATTCTTTAATGTTGTTTTTTGTTTTTCATTTAACCAATTTTTAAATAGAAATTATCATTTTTATTTCTTTGACTTATTTTTTTCAATTTATTTTATTTTGAGAAATTAATTAATTTATGTTATTCATATTTTATTGTTTTATATTTTTATTTTTGGTATTTTTTTATGAGATGTGCCTTGATTGTTTCAAAGAAAACGAACACCCTTCTTTTTGTAATATTTGTTACAATTGTGTAACTTACTTCTTAGAAAGACAGGGAATCATTATAAATCTCAAAAAGCTAAAGGGCCTTTTTTCAATTTTAAAACTTTGAATAAGAACAAAGAAGGTTGTGTCACAAGAAATTCCATCTCAGAAATGGAGATTAGATTCTAACCACAACATGTTTCTTGTTTTATGAAGTATGCCAATTGGTTTTTGGCCCATATATGTTCTAGATTAAAGATCTCAAAGTATGTGTAGTATTTAATTCGTCTTTAATTTTTCCAAACATTGGTCTAGTTAATGGTGCTACATAGATCACATCATATTGGTTTATCTTGTTTTTTCTTTGACATACTTCAATAAGTTAGTGATAATAACAGTAAAGATAGCAGTTAAATAGCTCAATTTACTTTTATATAACATATTAAATCTCCTATTGGTATTTATGTTTTTAATTATATATTGTCTGTTTTTAAAAATATTTAATTTTTTTTTCTAATTAAATTTTCAGATTATGAAAAAAAAAAATCTAAAGACTTTAAAAATGAAACGTTTATATCCTGTCACTTTAAGGTTTTTTTTTTTATTTCAATAAAAAGTATTTTGGTTAAAAATTTTATACAAAATTATTGTACAAACACAAAACTTGGCATGGGAATAGTAAAATTTCCCCACGCTTTTAAGTAATACTATACAAACAAATTTTTTATACAAAATTATTAGACAAACACAATTAAAGATTATTTTTTTCACAAGAAATCAATCATTTAAAATCGATAAGATCCATACTTCACAACATATAGCTTGACACCTTGGTGTACAATTAATAAGGGTTCATGGGATACGTAGATTTGGCATGGGAATAGTAATTTACATGCCGGTGGCTGTATTGTGTTAGATTCTACTTAAAAAACAAAATTTAGTGTTTATTTTTATTAAAACTTCCGTATATCATTACATTCGTGAGATCTTCGTGTTATATATTTGTTAAATATATATAGCATTATTCTTAACGTATTTTAATGAAGTAGATTTGAGTGCTGATTAATTTAAAACAAATTTTTTTTAAGGGGTAACCCTGATGAGGAGCCCAAAATCGTTTGACTAGAGAAGAAATTAAATTCAGTGTTTCTTTTCCTGGGTAAAGATTACATTTGTCCCTCAACTATCCTTCGATTCTCAACTGGCTTCCTAAAAAATTGAATTCTCAATTAAATCCTTCATTTATAAAATATTATCCAGTTAATCCCCATCCTTAGAATTTATACAAAAAATGGCAGTTTAAAGACAAACAAACCCTCGGGTTTATGGTTTTAAAGGAAAAAGGTTCTAAAAGGAGGGTTAATACATGACCCAATTAAGAATTGATTTGTTTGAAATCCAATAGAGAATTGAGGAATAGTCAAGAGATACTCCATCAGAGTATTAGTCCATTTTGAATTTTCATATAGTTTAATAAAGACATTAATTGTAATGATACATCAACTTTTTTTTTCTTCTAAAGTATCCTTTCATCTTGTCAAATTTAAGTTTCAAAATTTTTTAAAAGATACAGAGATCTTTAAACCCTTCTAAAATTAAAGTGCCAAATTAAAATATTTATCCTTTCCAATTTTTTAAACCAAATAAGATCTAGAGACCTTTAAACCTTCATTGATGAATCCTAATTTGTTCATAAAATTTTAAATCAAAAAATTAGTTTCAAAATCAAGGTGTCAAATCAAGATTTTTGTCCCTTCTATTTAAGTTAAAAAAATTTAGAAAGATTTAGAGATCATTAGGCCTTTCTAAATTTCTCATGAAATTTTATGCTAAAAAAAAAGTTTTAAAATCAAGACGTCAAATCAAAATTTTAGTTTCTCCTAAATTTAAGTTGGGAAATTTTTAGAAAGATCTAAAAACCATTAACGAATCTAAATTTTCTATAAAATGAATAGATTTCATGTAATAAAAACTTTTCTTTTGATTTTTTATGTTAAAATAAAAGTTTAAAGAACATTAATTTTTTAGTTAGTAAAATATAAGAAATGGAAGAAATAGTTGATTATGGATATTTTAGAAAAATAAATTATTTAAAATTTTAATTTAAAACAGACATAAATTAAAAAAAAAAAAAAGAACAATAGGGTAAATGGAGTAAGTACTAAAGCATGCCTCTCCTTTCTTTTTTTGACACGGGGTTCTATACCATCATAGCTAGATTGCTTTCTTTTTTGAGAAATACCATTGCTATTTGTTTTACTCCCTCTGTCCTTAAAAAAAAAAAAAATTGTCAAATTAAAATTTTAAGTGTTATATTTTTAAAAAAATATCAAAAATTAAAATTAAATTTTGCAAAAAATTATTCAAGTACAATTCTCAATATTAAAAAAATAAACAAAAAATATTAATGTGATAAAACAGTTAATAAAATTTTTTAATCTATATGAAAGGTAAAAAATAAAAACCCAATTTCTTTAGGATGGATGAAATATAATTTTTTTTCTTTTAGGTTTTTTAACCAAGGGTATCATACCCCAAATTTTTCTTTTACTTTTTTTTTCAGTTATTTATCACCCATTTTCGCTTTTCTTATTTTACATTAGTTTTTTTTATTTTAGTTCATTTTTGCTTTATTTAAACAAAAAAAATAATTAATTAAGAAATTACACCGAAATAAAAAAATTGTTTTTTTATTGATATTATGAATTTAATACAAGAAAAATATAAAAAATATATAATACAAAAATACAAAAAAAAATAGAGAGAGAGAGAGAGAGAGAGAGAGAGAGAGAAATCCTTTTTGTTAGAATAATATTCGGATAGAACCTACAAATTTAAATGCTTACTATGTCATTATCATAGGAGATGCCATAAGAGCAATTTCGGACACGGATAAGTGAAAAAGATTTTAGCTCTATTTCGTTTCGATTTTGTAGTTGTCTTTTGGGTTTACATATAACTTTTGCATGATGAGTCTCGAGTGCTAGCAAAATGTATCCATTTTTTTTTAACTAGATTTGCCATCTTATTTGTCTATCAATATAATGTTGAATGATCATCTTCTAACCAAAATCTTGGTTGCTTAACCTAGTAGGGAGTGCTTTTGCCATATACAAAGTTGTTGGACTAACTTTAAAAAACATATAGAAACCAAGTTTTTTCCGAGTTCATTGAGATTGTGATTTTTTTTTAAGTGGTAAATTGAGCTTGCTATATATTAAGTAGAATACTTGCTAAGATATCTTAACGGACTTCATTTATAAATAATATTAATGGAGATCATAAGATGATAGAAGAGATAATGTGTTTTTGTGTGGTTGAAGGAATCGAGATATATAAAAAGAATGCAATACACACATTTAGTTTGAATTTCATTCTTTATTTCATGAAAAAAAATGACAATCCTCAAACGTATTATTTCTTGATCGCATCGAATTTATAGGTTTGACTAAATTATCCCCATCTATACTCGCCAACGAGTGCACCCCCGAAAATACTTTTCTCACTACATAAGACCCTTTGTAGTTGGGTGACCACTTGCTTTTGTTCTCCTCGGCTTTTGTTCTCCTCGGGTATCAACAAAATTTTTGAAGCACCGGATCTCTCTCACGAAATTTACTTGGTCATACCTTTTTGTTGTAAGCATTGGCCACTCTTTTTTATACATTCTTGCATGAAAAATATCTATCGACCTCTTCTCACTGATCATGTTTAACTATTCATATCTAATCTAAGCTCATTCGCTTCTTTGAACTCGTGTTTTCATGAGTATTTTAAGATAAGGGATTTTTACTTCTAAAGGCATTATCGCCTCCATCTCGTAAACCAAAGAATATGGGGTAGCTCCCGTGGATGTTCTTACAATTGTATCGTATGCATGCAGAGCATATGAAAGCTTTTCATGCCGGTCCTTATAAGTGACCATCATTTTTTGCATGATATTGATGTTCTTATTTGCGGCTTCAATTGTCTCATTCATCTTAGGTTAGTATGGTATCGAGTTCAAGTGCTTAATTTTCCACTATTTATACAATTTTATTATCATCTTTTTATTGAAATTCGAGCATTGTCGGTAATTATTATGTCTAACAAATTGTACCGACAAACTAAATTCTTCTCTATAAATTGTTGCACCACTTTCCGAGTGACATGAACATAAAAAGTAGCTTTAATCCATTTGGCAAAATAGTCGATTACCACCAAGATGAAATGGTGACCATTGCTTGCTTTCGATTAATATGATCGATGACATCTAAACCCCGCATGGCGAAAGGCCAAGGAGATACCATATTGTTTAGTAGAGTT